TCTCTCCTACTCCTTTTGGTTCAGATCTGGTTCAGTTTAAGGTTCAAGAATGATCATTGAAAATATGATTTTCTAAATAGGGAATGTGATTCCCAATTGAAGGGAGAGAAAATTTTTGAAATTCGCCCCTTATTCCACAATCTTTGGGCGTCCATGGGATGGATCTCTCATCCCTTCATTGAAATGGTTGTGTCACTATTTATCTGATTATTGACAAACATGTCTTACACTTTATAGAATTCTTTTTTTATTTAATTTTCATAAAAAAAAAGAGTTAATCTTCGGTGATCCTTGCAACAGTTGGCTATGATCACACAATTTGGTTTTTGGAGGCATAGAGTGGACGGTGCTATCAGACTCTTCAATACCCAGATTCTCAGGTTAATCGTCTCGAAATAATCCCAAATTAGTAATCCATGGTTGTTATTGAAAACCCTCACATTCCCTCAACCGGTGATGAGTTATGACTCGCATACTAATAATGGGTAGTGGGATTCCAATTTGATGGAAAATGGATGTATTCTGGTTTTGAAGACGGGACTGTAAATGAAATTTTAGGGCTCCTGGTTGTCAAAGGGAATATGAAGGCCGTGCAGCTGTTAACACTGTTGTCCTCAACACTGCCCCACATAATCTACATTCTCAAGTAGAGGAAGCCATTGGTGATGATGCCCTTTTTTTGATAGCACCCTGTTGTTTGGATTATTTTCAGGTGGCCGATGATTCAGAGGTTGAAGTGGAGGATTTTTGCTGGATGAGGATTTGGATGTCGAGCTGATTAGGCCGAGCTGGGGGGTAGATTGGGTGTTGAGCTAGGTAGCTCTTCAAAGAAACCTGCAATGAATCAATGTTAGAGGACACAGGGTGTCTAACCTGGCGAGGTCGCTCCAATGCTTAAGTCGGTATTGCGTTGTCTTGGTTGCGAGCTGAAAGCTTGAGTGTAGAGAAAGCTAGTGAGCAAATAATCGCGCGTACCTTTTCGTGTCATTGGGGTTGGTGCCTTTATATAGGCTTTGTTTGGTGTGGGCTTCACGCACCGCATCTGAGATTTTCGGGAGGTCGTCTAACTGGTCCGAGATCCCCGAAAGTAACTGCCACGCACGTTGGCCATCCTCCGGAACACTCGGTACGTGGACCAACTTCCGAGAAACTTGGGAGTGTTGGGATATGCATACCGAAATTGTCAGCAAACACAACTCGCAGGTCGCCTCCTAGACCTCAGTTAGGTCGGCAAGCCCTCGAGGGAGGTCACTCCTCACATCGAGGTCACATCGGCTAGTGACGAGGTGCTACAGGTCGACCCTATACGAGGTGCTCTTGACTGGCCTAAGTTGTGGTCAAGGTTGCCAGGTTGGTGGCGAAGGCATGTTGCTAGGTCGGGGCAAAGAGAAACCATGATCTGGGACTCCAAGTCACTGCTTAGGTGGCGTCTATGTATCATCTAGCTGTACCAAGATGCCATGTGTCACGATATCATTGGAGGGCAAAATCCGCCCTCATCAATTGAGAATGCTACAATTTAAGTAATTTTGCCCCAACTTTACTCTGGAAAAGGCTTTATCATGTCCCCAAGTCTTTAGGGATATGGCTAAAGATAAATTTTTTGAAAGAAAATTAGATGACATCCAAAGGGCATTTGTGTCTTTTCATATGTCACTTAACAACTTGTACTCGATTGGTACATTTTGAAAGTTTGGGTACTGAATTATCACATTTTAAAGTTCAGGGACTAAAGTGGCACTACACCCAAAATACGGGAATTTTTCCCTAAAGATTAAGGCTTGAGGCAGTCAAACATTTTTTTGACAAAAATAGTGGGTCAAGGCACCTTGATCCCTTGCAAAAACAGTACAAAAAAAAAAAAAAAAATCACCCCAATCCAACAATCAAGTGTAAAATTATGGCCTCATGAAGTTTTTTTATAATTTGCATTATATGACTTGTAATTCATTAATTGGATCAAATGGGTCAATAGTTCAACCACCTAGACCATAAGTTTCAGACCAAATCAACGGTTTTGAACTAAATATTGAACCAGAAATGGTATTGGTAACGGTTTGAATGGTTCATTTACCTAGGTCAACGTCGGATCGAAAACTTTGTGTTAACCTCTGAAATGCCATACTAGATAAAAACCATGTCCATTTGATTGTTGGTCAATGACCCATTAACCTGAATGGTTTGACCATTGAATCGTTGGCCTAATGAGCCAGAGGAAAAAGTGGTTCAACCTCTGGGCCGGAGGTTTAAAAAATTGTCAATAACCTAAGGGATTACTTTTAAAAATTAAAATATTCACACATGTAGTGCATATGTATCTGGCAGTATTATTTAATTAAAATAACAAAAAAAATATTTTTTAATTAAAATAACAAAAAAATATTTTTTAATTAAAATAACAGCTACTTGAGAGTTGAGAAGCTTCTACTATACTTAATACTTATTTTATTTTACAAGGTGGGCCCAGGGTTCAGGAACAAAGTGGAATGAACGCTGTCCCTGCCACACTTTCCCCGACCAAACAAAACAACGTTGGCTCCACCTAACTGTTAGAGCATATTAAGAAACCGTTGGATTGGAATACTTTCCTTTTACATAACTTCGAGTTCTAGAGCTGCAGAATAGAAGATTCCAATCTGATGCTTTTGTTTCGCAGGAGTGTAGATTCTGATTCCATTTCCTCGCTACAGGATGGAAACAAAAAGAAAAGAAGGATGAGAGAAAGAAAAAACAAACAACGTAAAACAGGAAAAAACGGGTCAAAAGATTCCTTAAAAAAGCACAAACACTCATTACAGTCTCACTCTACTCTCTCTCTCAGAATTAATTAGCGTGGAGGACCCAGAAAGTGACACTCAGCTCACCTCCTACTCATCAGATCCAGCGTCCAGGTATCCTCTTTCGCTCTCTCTGTTTTTATATTAGAGTGCGCTTCTGCATTTGTCTTCTCTCTTTTTTTTTTTTTTTCAGCTTTAGAGAAGAAAAGCTTTTCAGTAACATTGAAGCTGCATTTGAACGTAAGCTTTTCTTTCTTTTTATTGGATATTTGTTTTGTATGGTTTTAGGGTTTTTGGTTTATTTTTGAGAGAAATGAATTGGGTATTGTTAAATATGTTCTTCATATCAGAAATGCGGATGAAAGTGTTCTGCATTAGGTGAGTTAAGGCATTAAGGGGTTCCAATGGTTTCATACTTTTGTGGGTCGTCTGGGTTTAAGGGTTTTCCCACTGGAATGGAGCTGGTTCCAGAGTAAACGATACGAGCTGCATAAAGGGACGAGATAGTTTAATTGTTATATTGATTGATGTTTTAATTCCTTTTTATTCTGTTGCTGCAGGTTCATATGGTTGTTCTACTAGCTTGTAGTCTCCAAAGCCGGAAAGTTTGGAAGTGAAGAGCTAAATTAGCTTTGCTATAGAGTTCTTTAGTCTGGATGGTGGGGAAGGATTTAATCTATGTTGGGTTGCATTAGTCTTGTAGTACAACGCTAGTTATTATTCTTTTTTTTTTCCTGGGAAATTTCTGTGTTTGGGTCATTAGGATTCTGGGATGAGAATGGACGAAATTCAGTCACAATCTGATCACTACAGGTCTTCCTCTTCGTCTGCTAGTAGTCCTACAAGTAGGGTGCCCTCAAGCAACTTTTTCTACTTGCGGAAACCTGGATCTATAAGACAACCCATTTCATTTGAGGATTCGCCTGAGTGGGATGACACAGAAGTTGATTTAAGAGTGGAAGAAGGAGGTGACTCAATCAACGCTGCAACGACGGCATCCCCCTTTCTCTCAAAGCTTAATAGTGGTTCACTGCCATCCCCCCCACTGCCTGATGGATCAGTTGTTGCAAGAAAGATTGCGGGAGCTTCAGTTGTTTGGAAGGACTTGACAGTCACAATCAAGGGAAAGAGGAAATATTCTGATAAGGTCGTGAAGAGCTCAAGTGGTTATGCTTTGCCAGGAACACTTACAGTGATCATGGGGCCAGCCAAATCTGGGAAGTCCACAATGCTAGGGGCAATTGCAGGTTATTTTCATTTGACTATACTATATTTACTCAAGTATTTCAATCTTTGATTTTGATGTTTTTTTTAAAGCTTTAAAACTGAAATGTTGTTTGTCTCATTATCGTTTTAGGTAGATTGCATGAGCCAGCTAAAGTATATGGTGAAGTGTTTGTAAATGGGGCAAAATCCTGCTTGCCGTATGGATCCTATGTAAGTTATTTGTTTTTTGACCAGTAGTCTTATGTAAATTCTTGCTTTCAATCATGTTATCTGTGGTTGATTTTGTCCACATTTTCTTTGTGGTTCTTCCTTCACTCTATGAACTTTGTTGCCCTCTTTATCTGTGTATCAATATGGTTCTTAGAAATGAATCCGGTGTGTTTACAGATGCACACCCTCCCCCCCCCCCCCAATCTTTGACACTTTCCGCACAAAGTGGCTGTTCTCAGACTTGAACCCATATTTTCGCTCTTATCAGCCTGAGATTTTTCCATTGCATGAAAAGATTTTGATACGTAATTGATAATAAGCAAAAATATGGTGTAATGCCATGAAGGGAATTAGTAATGCATTTCTTATCTAGTTTTAGTAGTTTCATTGTTTGGACACAGTCAAAAAACCTTTTCTAGGAGGCATCATGGATGATGGAACTACACTGTTAAGTTACTGAGGTTTGGTAGGTCAAGGTATCTTCTTGTTCTTGCCTTGCTCCAAGTCTGAAAGCTAGCCCACCCTTTGGATTAGAATGGCTTAATTGTGGAGGGTGACTGTCAAGTAGTAATATGCTGGATCATAGATAATGTGAAAGGCCCATGGTCCCCTAAATTCCTGATTAGTGAGGCAAAACATTTATGCACCAATATGAACTTCTTGTTCAGCTGGGTACCTGGATCTGCAAATGATATTGACCATATGGCAGATTCTCTAGCTAGGAATGCAGCCAATGGAGATGAGCTGGTATGGAGGCACCTTGATCAGGGACTAATGTTTACCTCTAGGATGGACCAATTATCCGTTTCGTATCAGCCTTGGCCTGTTCTGATCTCCTCCACTTCAAGTTTTCTGGAATTCTGAGGCTTTACCACTTATTACTCTTAATAAATGCCGTTCACTGTTGTTTATCAGGGGATTTAAGGGGGAAATGAAAGAAGCTATTTTTAAAATGAATAGTGATAGGCTACCAGGGCCTGTCGTTTACATGATGCTTTCTTTTAAGAGTTTTGAGATTTAAGACCTCCTGACAACCTTTTTGGAATTCCACAAGAGAGAGAAAAGTTTGGTTTCTGTGTGTAAATGGTAATCTATAATTGAATTATCATCAAGAAATTATGAGGAATAGTACATGTGTTGCATGCGTACAAGAAGTGTTATACAATGGGACCTACATTAAGATCCCAAGGTACAAATAAAACAGTATCTATAATTTGTGCAACAAGTTTCAGAAATAAAATAAGGAGGCATTTCCTTGAAATCCTTCCATATAGGTAGTTGTGAAACCATGATGCCAATTGCCTTCAACTCCTTGTGAATGTAGCCATGAACTAATCATGCCCAAGGTCAAAGTATTGATACGATATGCCCCGTATTGGGCATATTGTATCATATCTTTGGATTTCCAATACACCTATTTAAAGGTGTTTTCGGGAAACCAATGTTTTTATATTAAACAATATTAAAGTATATATTAAACTGAAAATTTGAAAATAAAACTAAAAAAAGTGCGGGGTAAAAAGAATTGATACACCCCTACTGGCATATTGGGGTGTGTCAATACTTTAAACCGTGATCATGCCTATGACCTTCCTTGGGGGATAACTTCCTTTGGCGATGCTAAACTTTGGAGTATCTTAGTATTAATTTCTCTGCAAGCTAACTTTCGCCCCTCTTGCTAAGTTGTTTCATGTGTCACAAGGGAGAGTCTTATTGATTTATCTGGTTATTGCTAAGAAGTTCTTCAACTTCTTTGTTAACTCAAAGATAGGCTCTTTGTTGTGGTACTTCTCATGTAGGGAGTAGTGAACCTAAATTTTGATTGGTATTCTATTAAAATCCTTAGTCCTTAAGTATAAGGAGAGCTTTTAGGGACTGTAGAGGTAAGATTATTATGGGTTTTGGGTCGAATTGGAGCAGGAAATGTGGTAAGGTAGAAACTAGAAGCTCTTCTCTGGGTCCTTATATTCAAGGTTTAGAATGATGATTTTGGTGGAAATGTCAATCACTTAACAACAAAAATTATGTCAAAAATATCAGAGGTTTCATGTAGATTTATTGTGATTTTTTTTGTAACATTGTAAATATTAATATGAAAATATTTTTTTTAAAGATAAATTATATGCTATTTTTTGAAATTATAAAAAGACATACTCTATTAAATTATTGTATCATTATAAAGTGATAAAAGTGATGTTTGAAATGATTGTACCATTTCAAGGTGGTTTCTTCCTCCACCAATAACAATTTTAAGTGTTTGAAACGTTATTGTATCATCATAGATTATACTCTAGTACCATTTGTTGATATTTTAGTTATAAATATTTTTTGATCAATTATTTTAATTATAAATATTATTTACATATGAATATGCTTCTTATGCTACTATAGTGTTTATCTTTTTAAAAGAGTTTAAGATACTAAAAATTGACTACTTTAATTAAACCATGCATAATTTAAAATATATTTCATAAAGGAAAATAAGGAAAGAGTTATCTATGATAAATTGATGATGAACTTGAGAAAAGAATGAATTTAAATAGAAAAGGATCACATTAAAACATGTTATTTGGATGATATCCATGTATATGTGAATTGAAAATCTTATATTGATCTAATTAACAAAACAATTTTTGAGGTTTTATTTTCTTGAATAGGGTATACGGGTCACTAAGTTTATGCTGACTACATTTTGTATGGCATCTCACTGTCTGATTAATGGAATTGATACTTTACCTTAACCCTGCATGCATGATCTAGTGTTTCAACTCTCCCTTAAAGGACTAATGTCCATCTCTTTTTGCCCTGTCAAATCGTAGGGATGAGCCTATCTCCTCGTTCTTGGTTCAGTCCAACTCAAGGTCTGGTCTTGAGTGGGATCTGGGCTTTAGAAGAGGTCTCCGCAAGCCTGAAATATTTGATGTTTTGTCTTTTCTCCAAAGCTTTGAGAGAGTGGTTGTAAGTTATGCAAGGAGAGATAATTGGATACTCATAAAAAAGAAGAAGTGATAGTTGGGTTTGGACTCTTTCTTCCTCATGTTCTTTCTCTTGTGCGTCCTTTAATTCCTTAACTTAACCGGGTGATAGCCTTGGAGTTCCTTTTCTTGTTAAAGAGGTGTGGAGTGAACCTATTCGACCTAGGGTAGGAGCTTTTTACTGGGAATTGTTTATGGAAAGAATTAACACTTGTGACTTATTCCAGAGAAAGAGACCAATTGGTCCATATCCCCGCACTGGTGTTTTCTCTACAAAGCCAAGGATGAGTCCTGCTATCACTTATTAATCTCCTGCCCCTTCTCTTTTTCAATTTGGAAATGATTTCGCTCTTTATTTGGGTGTAGGTGGAACCCCCACCAAATGTACAAAACTTGTTTGCTTATAACTTTGTTAGTTGGAAGAAGAGGGAGAGGATTCTTTGAAGGTGTACAAGGGCAGCTGTTTGTTGGACAATTTGGGAAAAAATGAACCAAAGAAACTTCTCAGGGGTTGAAGGAAACAAGAATGCATTAATTGAAATCATTACAATTAGAGTGGTGCATTGGGTGAAGTCCTTGAAACTCTTTGAGGACTTTCATGCTGGTGACTTGACGAGGAAGTGATTTGAAATTACTAGCTCGTCTTCTTGTAAGGCTGTAACTAGGCTTGTTTGGTTTCCACCTAGTTTGGTTTCATAAAATTAAACTTTGATGTCAGTAGTGAAGGAAATCGAGGTCCTTCAGGTATTGGAGGAGTATTCAAGAATGAGGAGTTAAGGGTTATTGTGCTATTTTCAGGTCCTATTGGTATAGGCAACTTATTGAGGACTAAAATATTTGCTGCTTTGGAAGGAGTACAAAAAGCTAAGGAACTGAATATTAGTAAGTTGATGATTGAAAATTGGTTGCTAAAGGAGGAGGATACTGGCTGGTGGGGGTTACATCTATGAGAGAAGGAAACTTAGTAGGCTGTTACAAGACTTGGAGGTCTGTATACAATGGGTGAAAAGGAATGCTAACTCCTTTGCTAATACTTCGGCCAAACAAAGGGTGGGAATAAATCAACTGTTTTGAGCTTTATTGTAGTCTTTTTTCTCTTTTGGAAGAGCTAAGAGAGTTTATCTCTCCTTGTTGTATTCCTATTGTTTATTTGAAAACCTGCAAAAGAGGAGACCAAAATGGTGCTTATCCCCTAATTGGTGTGTTCTTTGTAAATCTCAGAATGAAGACAGTCACCACTTACTGATCTCTTGCTCCTTTGTTACAGCTTTATGGAATTGGAGTTTTATGTTGTTTGAGTGTAGGTAGAACCTGCCATTTGATACTAGCTTGCTGTTTAATCCGTCTATCTTTTAATGGCATACAAAGAGAGGGAGAATTACGTGGAAGTGCATAAGAGCAGCTTTGTTGTGGACAGTTTGGGAAGAAAGGAACGGATTTTTTTTGTGAAAAAGAAAGGAGCTTCTCGGAAGTTAAAGAATGTATTCTGACAAGGGCAATTCAGTGGCTGAAAACTCTAAAGCTCTTTGATGCATACTCTTTTGATGACATATGGAGAAACTGGTTAGCAGTGGCTAATACTTCTACCAGGAAGGACAAACATGTGGTTGAATGGATGCCACCAGGGGAGGGGTTTATTAAGCTGAACTTTGATGGAAGTAGCCGAGGAAGGACAGACATGTGGTTGAATGGATGCCACCAGGGAAGGAGTTTATTAAGCTAAACTTTGAGGGAAGTAGCTGAGGAAATCCAAGACCTTCAGACATAGGAGGAGTGCTGAGAAACAAAGACAGTAGCATTATATCTTTGTACTCAGGTCCTGTGGGTGTGGGAGACTCTTTAAGGGCCGAATTACTTGATGCTGTACAAGGAATCCAGCTAGGCATAGAGCATCTGATTATTGAAGGGGATTCCCAGGTGATAGTGGGTTTTCTGAAGGATCTGGACACTGTGATATGGGGTTTTAGAGATCTTCTCAAAAAGGTTCAATGGCTAACAAGGAATATGACAATCCGAGTTCAGTGGGTAGGTAGATCAGCAAACTCAATGGCTGATTCAGTTGCAAAACAGGGGGTTCTTCGGGCTACTTTATTTTGGGCTTCTATGTAATTTCTTTTGTACTTATAATTCTATAACTAGTTTTAAAGGAAAGGTCGCATCGTGCCTTTCCATGGGTTGCATGTAACTCTTATTTGCTGGTTTAATAAAATCTTGCTCATATATAAAAAAAAACTCCCGTTTTAATGAATTCATTTCAGTTATTGATAAAAAATAAAAAAACAGAATTTATACTTTACCTTTTTGCTCAATAAAAAGAAAGTCATTTGAGTTTAGCCACTTCAGCTGTTATCAAATGGCTCCTTAGATGGATCCCAATGAATTGTGATATTTAGCTGATGCTTTGGGTAGGACTGGGCTGGAGAGAGAAGAATTGCTAATTGTGTAGTGACAGCTATATTCTATTGCAAAGCTCTCTCGTTTTGTTTTGTATTTTTTTTTTTTTTTTCATTTGTTCTTTGCCCTCCTTTTTTCCTATACTATAAGGTTTATTATTATCTTTTGCTTAATAAAATTCTATCATTATCCCTTAATCATACTACACAAATTCCCCAATCAGCTACTTTGGAGCCTTCTACATCTTTTAGCAAAGAGTTAATTCTTAGTTCCAACATAAATTCAGTCTTAGTCAAGATTTTGTATTTTGACCTAGTAACTACTTCTAAAAATTTGTATATGGCTTAGAATAGGAATAAAATACTATATCTTAGCATAATTTAAAAGTTGAAACTTTGCTTTTCATTTTCGTCAAGTTGCACCAGACTCCTCTTAGGTCTTGGTGCCATTATGGCTCATCATTGTAACTACTATGGTAACTTATATATCTGTTTTCCACTTAGAATCAAAGAAGAAAAGAGAAGAGGAGGAGAAGGAAGTTGCTCCTTTGAACTAACATAAGGAGTGCACGCTTCATCCCTTTCGAGCTTTTCCTATGTAAAATGCTTGCCCACCTCGATATGCTTTGTCCTATCCTGGAGGACAGGATTAGTTTCAATGTTTATGGTTGCTTGTTGTCATAGTAGAGGGAGATAGGATTGCCAACATGAAACCCCATCTCCCCTAATAGATTTTTTATCCAAAGCACCTCAGCAACCCCATGTTCCATGGCCCTATATTTAGTTTCAAAACTTGACCTTGCAACTACACTTTGCTTTTTGCTCCTCCATGTCAGTAGGTTTCTGCCTATGAAAGTACAATACTCACTGGTGGATTTCCTTTCATCCATAGCACCTGCCTAGTCTGCATCTGCATACACCTCCACTTTCATGTGGTTGTGCTTCTTGAGTCAATGATCCATTGGAAAATCAGAGGCAAGAGTGGATACATGGAAAGCAGAGGTTGCATCTGTTGTTGTAGATACAAATGAGGTGGAGGGAGTACCAGTCGTACTATCCATCTGACACAATGCCCTACCATAGGATTCTAGGTGATTGCAAAGTGAGCTAATGAGATCTTCTTTAGGGTCAAACTGATCTGATGCTCTTGGGTGTTCCTAGCAGTCACACTGCTAGTCTGAGAATCACTTGCTATCACATTTGCTGCACTGTACTTCTTCTGTCCTTGCCCCTTATTTGATTCTTGGTTCTTAGTTGCCCACTTAGGCTTCCCAACAAGATTGTAGCACGTCTCATGTGTGTGTCTATGGCGGTGGCCAATGATCTGAAAATCATAATCGCATCGTAAATCGTAGAGAAAATTGAATCAAATGGAATCATGAATTATAACTCGTAGGGTTATTTCTATTTTTTACAAACTTTGTTCTACCCTATTTTTAAGTCATATCTACCATATCTATACCTAAACCAATAAAAAATTTCCACTTATACAATACTAGTGTAAGGGCATGTGCCATGCATGTGTGCAAGTAAAGGGTAAAAGATATAAATTGACATTATGCACTCAAATTTAACTTTTATGACTTGCACCAAAGCCAAGGCAAGTATCTGCCTTGTAATAGTATAGATCAGTGTTTTAAAAACCGACTCGGAGGCCAAACTGTTTTTGACTCCAGGTCGCGGGTCAACAGTTGGACCGTCCGGGTCGAACAGGTCAGGTCGTGCCACATCAGCGTCTATATATTTTAAGTATATATATTTATATACATATATATATGTGTATATATTTGTACAAATACATATGTGTGTGTGTGTATATATATATAAAGAAAGAACTATTATGTTGCTGGAGGCTGCCTGGTCTGAAGAAGAAAGGGAAGCTGATCTGGAAAACCATTCCTGCGGCTGTTTTAGTGTTTATATGGTCTGAAAGAATTAACCAAATTTTCTGTAACAAAGTAAAAAGTTCAGATGAATTAGTCCATTTTGCTTTGTGAGCAAACTGATCTCATGGTTATCTGTAGTCCCTGAGTTCAAGCATCAGAATGCGTTCCAGATGCTTTACTCTCAGTCTGTGGAATTTGTTTCTTTCCTGGTGAGGACCGTGAGGTTCACCGGGAAGAAAGTTTTTAGAAGGGGGCCAAAAGATTGGGCTGGGCGCCCTGTTTATTATTTATAATGGGGGACAGGTTAAAACAATACAAGAAGATAAAATTACAGAGGTGCCCCTGGCGGCATAGCCTAATATAAAAGCTAATAATAACAGCACCCCGGCAACATATTCCAACAAGGATAAAACAAATAATAACAATAATAATAGCAATAGTATTATATTATCATAATAATCCATGGTATTGGCTGTATGTGGCACTGGATTGTAATCTCTTCTGTAGTTCTGTTCATAATACAATTATACAATATATTACTTTTTCAAGAAAAAATACCATTACATTAATTATCTTTTTAATTATTAATTAGTTCATGTTTTTTAATAAAAGGAGGATTGTTACAGGGGCAGAGGTGTTCACATGGAATCTCTTTTCGATTTGTAGGGTTATGTGGAGAGGGAAACCACACTGATTGGATCTCTAACTGTCCGTGAGATGTTATACTACTCAGCGCTTCTCCAACTTCCTGGATGCTTCTCCCAGAAAAAGAGTGTCGTAGAGGATGCAATTATTGCTATGTCTTTGGGTGATTATGCAAATAAACTGATTGGTGGCCACTGCTATATGAAGGGCCTCCCTAGTGGTGAGAGAAGGCGTGTCAGCATTGCCAGGGAGCTTGTGATGAGACCACAGATCTTATTTATAGATGAACCTCTTTATCATCTTGACAGGTTTCATCAACTTTCTTACCCATGTAAATGTTTGTTTAGTTGGACTCTATCAAGGAAATTGAAGGATCCTCTGGTAGATGATAGTTTGTGAAGGGTAGGACCTATAATTTGATCTAAATGTAGGTTACCATTGGCAATCTAATGTAATTTGTCACCTCTTTTTTATTTATGTATTTTTCTTTTCATTTCCACGGAATCTTCCTCGTATTTTCCATTTAAATCCTGGACTGGTCCAGCTGAGTTAGTGAGTTTGTTTGTGAGTCCCATCCCTTGCATATTTGCCATGTCTAATACTGATTGTTGCTATACAATGTCTCCATCTGGAGGATGTGGTTGTTGGTTGTCCACATTCTATCTATAATGGTAAAGTTGTATATATTTGCCTTTTCGGTTATCATTTTTAGTTTAACTATAATATTTCTTACATGCAGTGTGTCTGCACTTCTGTTGATGGTAACTTTGAAGAAACTTGCAAGCACGGGCTGCACACTTATTTTCACTATGTATCAAAGCAGCACAGAAGTATTTGGCCTATTTGATCGGATTTGTCTGCTTTCAAATGGAAATACACTGTTTTTTGGAGAAACACTAGCATGTTTGCAGGTAACTTTATGTTGATCTGATATATTGCCTTTTATCTCAGATTTGCACTTGCATTTGGTTTCATTTTTTGAGTTCTTGTTTTATGATGTCCTTTGGGGGAACCCAACAGATCGCCTGTTAATTTTTTATTTGTGTTTGGAAGAAACAAACTTGTTACCATTTTGTTCATGCAGCACTTCTCAAATGCTGGATTTCCTTGCCCAATAATGCAAAGCCCCTCTGATCACTTTCTACGTGCTATAAATACAGATTTTGACAGGATTATAGCCATGTGCAAAAATTGGCAGGTACTTGTTTGCTTATTTATTTATTATTTCCGGTGGAATTCTAGGTTTAGTCTTTGCATTTATCACTTCTTTCTAGAATAGGTGAGGGAAAAAATATGAACAATGGCACTGCACAGTTAAGCTAATCTGATTCAGTTGATTCTTGTCTTGGAAATTCACCTAGGTAGGAGCTATGGAACTATGCTTCTGATCTATTTGTTTATCTGAAAACCCGTTTTTTTTTTCAGCATTATCTGAAAAATCTGTTTGTGTAACATTTCTGCTTTTATGCTATTCATGCCATAATTATGGGTCTATAAAACTCTTGATGCCTACATCATGCCAACAGTTATGGTTGAACAAATGTTTTTCAAATCAATATGGATGTTGAACTGCTGGAGCTGTCACTTCATGGTTCAATAGTTCAACTGTAAACTATCTAGTTTATAATCCTTAAACTGTGCTATAGCTTTGAGTAGAAATCTGCAGAAATAAAAAACTGTAGAAAAAGATGAAGAAAAGAAGAAATTTTGTGAGAAGAGAGAAGAAGAAGAGAAAGAATAGAGAAAATAATGAGAGAGAAATCAGATCTGGCCGCCCTCTCCCATTGGTATTTATACTTTAATTAAAAAATAAGTACAATGACTAATATGCCCTTATAGGGTGACTAACACATAAAACTGCATAAAAAATTTAAAAACATCACTCCAAATGGTCCCAACTGTGTTGTGGTCACCACTTCCTATCTAAACAAATAATAAACAAAAACAACAAATCTGCACAAAATCCTCAACATTCCCCATCAAGTTGGGAGTAAATGCCACACATTGCCAAACTTGCGTAGGTTATGTTCAAGCTTGTTGTTTCTCACCCCTTTGGTGAAGACATCAGCTAATTGCAAGTTAGAGGAGATATAAGGCAATCGGACTTCTCCGGTTGTCACCCTTTCTCTTATGAAGTACCTATCAACCTCAATGTGTTTTATCCTATCATGCTGAACTGGATTGTGAGCAATATTGGTTGCAGCTTGGTTGTCACAATATAACATCATGGGCTCCTCTGCATCTATCCCAATCTCACTTAGCAAGGATCTAATCCAAAGTAATTCTGAAAAACCGTGGGCCATACATCTATATTCGGCCTTGTTAAAGTTCAGCCTGCCCTAGAAATCTGTTTTGTTTGCTACCTGTAAAGTAAACAACAAGAAGGAAGAGAAGAAAGAAGAAGGAAGAAAGAGGAAGGAGAAGAGAAAAGGTCTGGTTTGAAAATTAGGAAAAAATCAACCTAGTTTCGGCCAGACTTGTTATTATATTATTAATGTGACTGGAAAAGACCTAAGTGCCCTTATTTAAGTAAGAGGCACTCGAACTAACATAATAGTACACATCAACACTCTCAACAGGTACAAAGACCGAAATACCCCTTCACTAACACTCCCCCTCAAGTTGGCGAGTATATATCATATAATCCCAGCTTGTTACATACGTAGCCCAGTCTCCCCTGTCTCAAATCTTTTGTAAACAAGTCTGCCCACTGATTTCCTGTATTAACATATGCAGTCTCTATCACTCCATTTAGCACCTTCTCTCTCACAAAATGACAGTCAACTTCGATGTGCTTGGTTCTTTCATGAAACACCGGATTGGAAGAGATATGAACCGCTACCTGATTGTCACAATAGAGCTTCATTGGAGTACTGATGTCWTATCCTRTCTCSYRKAGAAGRTTCCTTAGCCACACTAATTCACAAGCAGTATGTGCCATGGCCCTATATTCTGCTTCTGCACTGCTTCTTGCCACAACTGTTTGTTTCTTATTTTTCCACGTTACCAGGTTACCCCCCCAAAAAGGTGCAATAGCCTGTGGTAGACCGTTTATCAGACATAGAACCTGCCCAATCAGCATCGGTGTATCCTTCTACTTCTAGTTTCCGCCACTTTTGTACAGCAAACCACGACCAGGAGCTCCTTTCAAGTACCTCACAATCCTTAGCACTGCATTCCAATGTGGGACCAAAGGTTTCTGCATGAACTGACTCACCACACTAACCGCAAATGAAA